GCCTCCAACTTGCCATCCTCCTGCCTCAGCCTCCGGAGCCCCTGGGATGACAGGCGTGCGCCCCTGCGCCGGGCTAGAGTGGCGACATTGAACAGCGCCTCTCTACTAGGGTGGCWGGAGCATGACAGAGGCTGTGAATGTTGGGTCTGTTCTTCCTGCCAGATCACTCTCACAGCATGCTGGCAGAGGACACCGGAATGCCCCTTGCAGAGACAAGGATTCTGGAGGCCCCCCGGGGGATGGTAATGATTCACCCGGGGTTTGAACTCAAGTCTGCAGGCTCAGGAGGACAGGCCTCTGTACCTTGGTCTGTCTCCTGTGTCCAGGATTGTGGGAGTGACTGGGGCTACAGCATGACCCGCCCCCTCCCAGGGGACACCAGCTCTGGGAAAGACAAACCCCTGGTGCTAGGACAAACACCTGATTGCAGGAGACAGGTCAGCCTGGGGCCAGCCAGAGGGCAGCTGACTGAATGCCAGGCTGCTGGGCTGGACCCTGAGCCCATAACTCCAGCTGCAAGACCACAGCGGGAGACATGGTCCCTGGATGTCGCTGCAGAGTGGCCAGGGCTGGCAGGCACTGGAGGCTGGACTGGGAGGTGGGGGCCGGAGCCCCTGAGCATCCTGCTGCCCCTGTAGGTGCCCCTCAGCCTCTGCAAGTAGGGAAAGAACCCTGGGCCTTAAAAACCCATGGGGTGGTGCTCTGCAGCCTCCCTGAACACCCCCCCCCGCAATACTGCCCTTTCTGGGGCCCAAGGTTGTCCCACCCTCCTGCTCCCCCAAACTGAGCTCCCCTCAACTACAACAATAGCCCTGCAGGAACTTAGGCTGATGGGGGCCTCTCAGYAGCCCAAGGGTTGCCAGTGTTGTGCTTTTATTTTTCTACAAGTAGTAGGTGTTCAGTAAAGAAAACCAAATAAAATAATTTTTATTTTTGATACCAGAGATTGAACCCAGGGGCGCTTAACCACCCTGAGCCCCRTCCCCAGCCCTTTTTCTATTTTATTTACAGGACAGGGTCTCCCTAAGTTGCTTAGGACTTCACTAAGTTGCTGAGGCTGGCCTCCAAGTGGCGATCCTCCTGCCTCAGCCTCCCGAGCTGCTGGGATTACAAGCGGGTGCCCCTGCACCTTACTATAGAGGAATATTTTGGTTAAAAAAAAAAA